AAATGTCTCATTTGAAAAGGACTCATTTTGGGGATGAAAAAAAGTATAAGAGTTTCAAAGACTGGGATGCAAGCGACTCTGCAGTGCCCCCCTGGCCAGATCAATGAAGTACATAGAACCCAAATCCCACCTATGCTTATTCTGTTCAGTCTTTATGCATGTAGCTGGTCACTTTTCTTTCCCTTTTGCTCGTGTAAACTTCCAAACTATAGGCTTGTTTTGAGAAAATACAGAATGGAGGAAAGAATTGGCAATGAAGTCTAATGTTCTTGGACATTTCTCATATAAGTTGACAACAGCTTGAGAAGATAGGGAGAAAACTGAAGCTAACAAGAAAGCAAGGAACAGTAAACCATAAATAAACCACACACATTTGGAAATCAAAGAGATACCCTGATGAATAAATTTTGAAGTACAAATTCTTCCAAAAATGTACTAAAGTACATTTGAAAGAAAATATGCTGAGGCCGTGCCAAAAGATTGTTATTCTACAACTTTGGGAATGTGATATATTATGGTGACTGGACAAAATCTGGAATCAACAACTAACCATGAAATCAGAGCTGCAGCTCAACTTTGTGTTTAAAATATGTTGACTGAAGTATATTATGAAATAAATTATTGTATAGAATTTGCAAAAGGATATGAAAAATTGTAATTTATGATGATTTTTTTCATTTTATAAAAATTGTGAGCAAAGAAATAAAAGCGGCATTTAAGTAGCCACATCATGATTGTACTAAACATTATCCGCAACAGAAGTAGATCATCTAAAAAACTTGAAGAGCTATTAACAATTACACGTTTACATTGGGAAATGTAGTGAAAGTGCTTATGTTAATATTTACCAAAGGTTTCCTTTTTTCTCATATCCATTTGCAGCCTTGCTGTTTTACATCTATCTAGAATGGTTTTTGTAGAAGAGACAGTCAATGAACTTTTGTGAAAGTAAAATGGCTTTATAAATATGGCTGGCATTTTTGTAAGAAATATTTATTAAAGAAATATGACAGAAATCATGAGAGTTTAACAGGAATAGGTTTTTTTAAGTGTTTCATAGGTATTATGCATGTCCATCAGCCTTATTTAAATGTAATTTACTATTCTAATTCTGAAGAAGTTAATTTTTAGACCAGCAAATTTGTTTTGTAATCCAGTGGAACATTTTACTGAGTCTATCTGCTCACACTTAGAATTATACCATTCACTTAAGTTAAAACATGGAAATTCCATTTAAACATTAAACAAAAGGTATTCTAAATTCAGGTGTTTTTACTTCAAAACAAATCAGTTTGGTATTACTTTTTGAAAATGAATAAACATGCTAGAAACTTTGGCGAATGGTTTTAACTGTCTTTATATTATGCTAGGAACATGGGCTTTGGACTGCTTTAAGCTACCATGAAAATGTATGTTGGTGTAGTAATTCAAATAAAAAAAATAAATGTGCAAATGAGGAATATCTCCTATATCCAGATATAGTTTAAGATATTTCAGATAAATATGTAGCATTTTTACATCTGTTGAGCTCAAATTAACACAGAAACATTTGATTCAGTTGACATACATAAGAACAAAGTTATTAAAATTAAGATAGATCACCGTTTCATTCATATATATAGACAGACAGACAGACAGACAGACAGAGACAGAGAGAGACAGTACTTGAAGTACCAAAAGATGTACTTCATTCCAATATAAGTTAATTAGTGTTTAATTTAATTAGTGTTAATTTTTAGGCCACCCAATTCACAGGAATTCTGGCCATGTTTGTCAGGCAAAGATGGGACAGAAGTCCACATCATCTGAAGGATATTAAGTAAAAACAGATCGTCTATGGAGTTTATAGACTCTAATATTATATTTGAAGTAGAATAAATAATGCCATTTCTGAGAGGGAAGACAAAGATTAGATTATAGTCAGGGAGCAGTTACATTTTTTTTTCTGAGTGGTTTAGCTGAAAGTTTTTTTTAAAAAATGAAAAATTAGGACTAGCATACAGCTTCGGAAATAAGAATTGTATCATTTATAGATATAACTTTGGATGAAAACATCTATAAAATGATAATGTAAGTAGCCTTGGGGCCTGGACACTTCTGATTTCAAAAACAGGAAGATTATAAAGCTGATAATGTTTAACTTCTTTTTTCTTGTACTGACTTGCAAATGTACAATGAAATTCAGACTCATTGGAAACAGATCGAACAATTCTGGCCAAAATAGCTTTTACATGTTTGCTGTTTTGCAGCATAGTCCTTGGCTATTAATCCTGTTTACATTGTCTTCCTTAAGTGTTTGGCTCCAGGTTTTCTAAGGCCAGCCCCATTTGCTCCTTCCTCCAGGAGGTATCCAACATAGTGCAATTTTTGGATGCTGATTTTTAGGCATACATACATAAGATATGGCCAACAAGCCACATTCGACATTCATTCACAGTTCCCAATAGATGGCCCAAATCAGATCTTTGTAATACCTTTTCATTAGTGATGTAGTCACAATATGAGATGCGGAGGATTCCTCTCAAGCAATGTTATTGGAAAATATTTAACCATTTAATCATCTTGGTTGTACACTTATAGGTTTCACAAGCATATATTGTAGTTGGTATAACAACGGTCTTGAAGAATTTGTGGTAATACTTGGCTGCCATAAACCAAATTGGGTGTATGCTTTGTTTCATCAAGTAATGTGAGGTCATTCACAAAATCTATCCATAACTCTATGAATAAAAGTTCTTGGAGAGGAGAAACAAGAATGGTGATAGTATAAAAATCCCACATTACTAATACCAAAAACAAAGAACATATTTGAGTATCATTTTCATCTTCTTTAAATCAGAATAGTTAGTGCTTGAATCAAAAGGATTAGATAATTTCACCTGTGCCCTGATTTGATAAAATTTTAAAATATCTTAATAACAATGCATGAAGGCTGATGGAAACATTTTCAACTTGTTTTTAACAAGTTAATTATTACTAAGTCAGCAGTGCTTTCTTTAATATTTTTGCTTTTTTGTGCATTTTATATGAATCCTTCTTTACACATTATAAATAAACCCTAATCTTTTTTAATAGTGATCTGATTTAGAGTAAACTTAATTCAAGAACAATTGATTTGTCATATAGGAGTACTGTATGTCTACAATTTCAAAAAAGCTGCTGTTCTTCCTTTGAATGATCCAAGGGCAGGGAAGATGAAGAGGACAAAATATTTTTTCTCATTTCTATCCCATCAATCTCTGAGCCAGGGTGGCAGTTTATTTATGTTCCTTAGAAGCTTAGAACAAAGAAACTTTTCATGGTATGTGTGTTTTAGTTCTCTCTTACAAGAAGCGAAACTTGGGAGGAAGACTTACAAATAAATAATTCCCATGCTTTTCATTACAAATCCAAAATTCACTCTAAGAAAAAGAAGGGCAAATGTGAAGTTCTTAAAACTCTCAGTAACAATGAATATAAAGCCTATACAACTGAACTCTTAGGGAAAACTACTGAAGTTGAGTTTTACAGCTATATATTTCTAGTCTCAGGTTTAGAAAAAAGCATAGAACTTTTCAATTCACAGAGACTGGAATGCCTAGTAGCTAGAAAGGGTGGAGAAGAAAAGATGAAAAAGCCCTTCAGAAAAAGCAAAATGCCTACATACATCAGAATAAAAGTACAATTTAATATTAAGTATAAAATACAATTTAGTATTGAAGCCATAATTCAAGGTTTAATGCCAGTTATTATATATGATTATGCAGACTGTAGTTAATGCCAGAATTGGTAGATTAGGAGTGTACACATAAAATCATGAAGTCTGAAATTATTAATTTTTAATTCCACCTTTTTTTATTAAAGTATGAATGCCTTTAAGCTGCAGAATACTTTACATACATTGGAAAGCAATAAGCATATTTGTTAAAGGTGCAATTCCAGTATGTTTGCATGATAAATCTATATGCTCTAATAGTCACTGCATACACACACACAGACAGACAGACACACACATACACATAGGTGCATATTCAGACACAATGAAAAAGTCTTCCATAGCTATCTGCTCTGATTTGCTTTCTTTTAAGGCTTCTGTAAGGTGCCCAGTGCTCCTAACATTACCACAACATATGAACAAGTCTGTATGAAGTGCAGCATTACCTATATATTAGTAATCAGCACTTTGTCTTAAAAATGTTACAAATATTTATGAACTCTTACATCTGTGAACTAAAAACATTTCAGGAAATATTAATATGATGTTAATATTTCAGGAAATATTAGCAAAATATTACAAACTTTCTGCCACCAAACCTGATCTTAAAGAATCTTATACCTATCATTATCAGATGCTAATGATTAATATGCTAGTTTAAACTGAACACTGGAGCACAAGTAAATAATCTGATGTAGATTCTGTTTATGGCAAGACTATTGCAAAACTAAAGTTTGTGCCAGAAGCAAGGTAGACTCTGCCTTACAGGCCAACTAATATATATTCAGGATGTTCATTCTTAGACAGTGGTCTGATTTAATGGACATGGCATAAAAGAGGAAATTTACATTCAGGTGTCCCACCATTCACTTGGCATCCCTGCAGTTCATCTTTTAAACCAGTGGTGGCGAACTTATGGCACGGGTGCCAGAGGCGGCACTCAGAGCCCTCTCTATGGGCACCAGCGCCGTCGCTCCAGTCTTCATCTGGGTTTTATAAAACTTTTTCGCTTTAGGCCTCCACTGCCGTGTACAAAAAAAAAAAAAAAATTCAATCAATCCGTCAATTTCAACTTCTCGCGAGGAAAAAAAAAGATCTTACAAAATTGGAATTGATTGATTGAACTTTTTAGTCCCACCCAGTCTGATGTTACCACTGCAGCCACACCCACCCAAAGGGCCACACCCACCCAATGGGCCACACCCACCCGGCACTCGACAATGCATAAGTGGGTTTTGGGTTGCAGTTTGGGCACTCGGACTCTAAAAGGTTCGCCATCACTGTTTTAAACAATGGCACTAAGGGGGAAATATGTGACTGAAAGTACATTTTAAAAGCTTAAATGAATAAAATAAAATATAGCATATGATTATAACTTGTAAATGTTAAGCATATGTCAATACTCAAACCATGAAATGTGGATTAATTGTTAGGCTGTCAAACTGCAGGTAGAAATTTCAGCCCGGGAAGTGGTAAAAAAGAGAGCAGATGATCCTCAAATTGTATTCTCTTTGTCTGTAGAAGATGGAGTATGTGCTAACAACAAACTCTGAAAGATCTCATTGTTAAATCTGCTCAGTGAATTTCAACAAGGAAATTGAAATAATTTACAAACCATAAGACAAGAACTTGAATTCCAAAGCTTAAAATAAGTTTGAAACGTGAAATGGACAAATGACTAAACAAGAAATTTTATCACATTGAAACAAAAACAAACAAAAAAAAGCAAAACAAAATCCAGCAGCAGATTTCAATGTTATGTAATTATAATAAAGAAGCATATTTTCAGGAAATTTTCTGAATTGCTTTTTTAAAAAAAATGAAAAAAGGTGATTAGAGAAATTTTGGAAATTCATCTTTTCCAAATTGAATGGTTGTTCATTTATTTTATATATATGTTTATGTTCCCAGGGCCATTTTTGCTGATGCTTAACCATCAAAAAAACTGAAATTCAGCCATCATCAGATTCTAATTCTTGAGACATTTCTTCGGAGGAGCTATTCCTGTGGATCCGGCCATCACTTTTCATGCTATGGAAAGTTTTCTTAAAGGCCTCCATCATAGCATGAGCTAACTTCTTGGCCTCTAGCTTGCTCTCACATTCTACAGCATGACAGTCCATCTGATAGGACAAATCATCATTGATTTCCCGATATATCCAAGCAAAAATATTTGGGCTCACATGGTGATCAGCAGTGCAGTAAGCAATACGAGCAACCTGAAAGGTATCCATGTGAATAGTGGCTTCTCCTTTGAGGTCCAGATGATGAAGCCAAACTTGGAAAGGGCGGATTTCTAGGAGGGCATTAGCTGGGAAGATGTCCTCTCTAGCAAGGGTGTGCTTCTTCCACAATTCAATTACTGGCTTCTCTGTGCAACCGGACAAAAACTGCATCCCTGTTGTAGAAACTTTTCCCAAGTATGTAACCTGATATAAGACAAAAAGGAAAAAGTTAGTCATCCAAATGCTAAAATTATAATGCTCAGTAATTGTTCCACTAAATTCATCATTATTACTGAAAATTTCTGCAAAACATAATAACCTCTAAAAGTCAATATTCCTTCAAAATGCTACACATTCAGGTGTGCAAGGGTTTATGAAAAGCATTGTGTGGACTGGGGAGGATATGTGACGGTGTAGAGTGGCTGGTGCCATGTGAGCACAGATGGGCTAGGTCAGCAACCTACGGCTCCCAGTTTTCTCTGCCATTTGCGGAGAGAGACAGAGACAGAGAGAGGCAATTGCGCTTCCCTGCTTCTCTCTCTCTCTCTCTCTCTCTCTCTGTGTGTGTGTGTGTGTGTGCGCGTGCGTGTATGTGTGTGTGTGTGTGTGTAAAAGAGAGTGCACTCACAGTGTTCTCGAGGAGCTGAAAAGCTTATTGGGCGGAGCTCCTCCCTTTGCTGCGTCTCTGCAGGAAGCAGGAAGGGCAGGAGAGAGCTAGCTAGCCCAGCTATGCTGACACAGGAATTCTGGGAGTTGAAGTCCATGAGTCATAAAAGAGCTGAGGTTGCCTACCCCTGAGCTTGTTGGAGAACAACTTGAAGCCAGCTTGCCAGGTGAGCAGCAGATAGGAGAGAGGGGGGACAGAAAGAGAGAGAGAGAAAGAGAGAGAGAGAGAGAGGGAGGGAGGGAGAGAGAGAGAGAGAGGAAAGAGAAAATGAGAAAGAAAGAGAGTGGGGGAAGAGGAGTGGCAGACCAAGGGCAGATAGAGAGAGAGGGAGGGAGGGAGAGAGAGAGAAAGACCCTTTTGACATCTAAAATGAAGATAACACTGCATATATCCTTTTTTACCTCTGTGTCTGTGTGTGTGTGTGTGTGTGTGTGTGTGTGTGTGTGTGTGTATACACACACCTCTATAATAAAGGTAAAAAAGGATATATGCACTGTTATCTTCATTTTAGATATCAAAAGGGTTTTGCGGCTCCCGGTGTTTTGTTTTCGGTGGGAAACGGGTCCAAATGGCTCTTTGAGTGAACGTGTGTGCATAGAGGAAATTTACCACAGTAACCTGCAACTTTCCCTGATGGCTTCCTTATTTACTTTCTGGGGACCTAAGCAAGGAAGGTTGCAATTGGCTATCAACATGATCATAAGCAACTTAATAACCACATGTAAGTGTAAATGGGATGCCAAGCAGCCAGATTGCAATCATGTTACCATGGGGCTGCTGAATGGCCAGAAATCCAAGAATTGGTCATAACCACCCTACATTCAGTGCTTTGTAATAGTTGCTGATTGAATCGGTGTAGGTCAAGGACTACTTGTACCGAATACAGTTTCCAATTTAGCTTCATCATAGTATTGCAAAATATCAGAAATATATCACTATAAGGATAAGATATAAGATTTAAAAGATATTTTGTTAACTGCTTCCACATGAAGTTTATCAACAGAACACACACTATATTATCAGCTAGCTCCTGGGTTTTTTTGTTACAAGTAGCCTTTATCTAGTGGGACTTATTTCTTAGGAAGTCCTCATAGGATTGAAGTCGAGGTTTACATGGTAAACTTAAGGCCTCTTATTTAAACTTTAGTTTTTCTATAATTGCTTTTTCTTCTACACACAACTATTTCACAGAATTGCTCTTTAAAAATATTAAGATCTTTAAATACCACTAATTTTCCTGCCTAATCATGTCTGACTCTAGGGGCAGTTCTCATTTCCGTTTCTTGGCCAAGGAAGCCAGCATTTTTTTGTAATCATGTGGACATCATGGCTACATGCCAAAGGTGTGCAGAATGCTGTTACCTTCCCGCCAAAATGAGACCGATTAATCAACTCGCATCTGCTTTCAAACTGCTAGGTGGCAGGAGCTGGGCAAGGACAAGAGCTTCCCCCGTTGTGCGGCATTCGGATCTCAAACCCAGGCTGTCAGCTGACAAGCTCTGTGTCTTTAACCACTGAGCCACTTAATCCTTCTGAGCCTTTAATAAGGCTGAATAGTAGCTTTACTAAAATCCCATCATGTCGCTGTACAATTTTCCATCCTTTCGACAACAGTTTAATCTGTTAAATATAATTACTGCCATGTCTACAAAGCCAAATTCACAATATCAGAGCATTCTATTTATTATTCAGATCAGAAGTTGTAATAATGTTCTAGAAAAAATGAAAAAAAAATTAGCCACTTCATAGAACAAAATTTCAGCTATTAAAAAGTAATTTAGAATTTGTTACAAAAATAAATTGATAGCACATGAAACATAAGGAGCTATTTGGTGGAAAGGATGTTTAAGTAGAACATAGAAATAGCAACCAATGCAGCAGACCACACTGAAATGTGTTAGAGAAGACAACAAGAAAGAGAATATGTGGCATTGGATAATGGAGAATGAAAAATACATAGAACAGAATGTTACAACACATTCTAAACTCTGCTTTAGACCTGGAAAAAGGAATGTGCTGACTTCGTTTATCAAAATTAGTTCCAATTTTCAAATCCTATCATTTATTTTTGTGTAATAAATTAAATATAAATATTAGTTAGTGCAATTATTAAATAATGTATAATAATAATGATGTCAAATAATTTTAATTGAAACAAAATAGCTTAGCTTAAAGTTATTCTAGCCCAGGGTTTGCTCTTACATATGAATGAGGAAGCGGTTTCTCCAAAGGTCAAATTTGCATTTTAAGGAAAACTCCTATTCCCTTAAACATGTTCAGAAGAGTGATTTTCATCACATCCTGATGGGAATTATTGTTGTTTTGATATTTACCCTACTCTCTGATTCCACTGCTATAATCAGTGTCTTTGTCTAGTTCTGCGCATGGAATGAAATATACAGTGACTGTTTTTCTGAGAACGATTTTTCTTATGCTCAAGCTATAATGGAGAGAGTATGGGCAACATAAAAAGCATGTCATAGCTAAATATATAAATGCTTTAAAATTCGGGTTTTTATTTCTAGCCTCCCAAGGTGCAATATAAAAAAATCCAGTAATATATAACAGATATGCCTTTATTATTTTGTCTGAAATAGTATAGGGTTTCCTGCCTGAGTAGTAGGTTGGACTAATAACCTCCAAGGTCCTTTCCAACTTTATTATTATTATTATTATTATTATTATTATTATTATTATTGTTGTTGTTGTTGTTGTTGTTGTTGTTGTTATGGTGGGTGGGAGGCAACTTGGAAATTGCAATGTTTAAAACCATTAACCACCATTATTTCATATGAGGAAAGCAAGATAATTTTATTTCATATGGGACATTTAAAAAAGAATTCTCAAGTTGTTGAGGCTACAGGAACTCCCAGAATTCCTCAGCTATCACACAAGTCGTCCTCTCTTACCAACTGCCTTGTTTAATCATCATTCAAAGTTTTGATGGTTGGAAAAAAAACAACTTTGTGACCCAATACTTACATTTATAGGGATTGCAGCATCCAACGGTCATGTGATCACCATATGTGAGTTTACCAATGAGCTTCCAACAAGCACAATTAATGGAGATTGTGAAAGTGAAACCGCATATTGCAGTCATATGATATCTCATGTAACAATTTCAATTATTTGCTTAACAATGAAAATGGAAAGTAACAAAACTGTAAGCCTAGCATGGTCACTGATTTTTCAGTTAGTGACTGCAGTGCTTAGCCATTGGAACTAGTTGCTAGTGCCAATTGTGATTGTTAGCAAGGATTATCTGTAGTTTTTAATTCTAGAAATTTATTGCAATATGTGCAATAAGCACAGCTGCTTATCATGTTCAGACACTGCTATGTCAGAGAATTTAGCCACCTTCAAAGAAATTCATCATCTTGATCTTCTACAGGAAACACATATCTAACTTTCAGATGTTTCCTCCAAACAGTCTCACAATCTAAGATGCCATACATGTTAAGGTTTACTAAAGAAAAAAAGAAGCAGCATAAAAACTTCACTATATTCGCTACAGAGCCAAACAATTAAAGTCCCATATTATGTAACTAATTAACAAAATATGCATGTTATAAAAAGGAAAAAACAATATATACATAATGCACTCTTTTCTGATCTAAACAACAACTTCTGTTGGCCAAGATTAGCTAAAAATATAATTCTGGAACTGCATATGGATGTTTTTAGAAATATTTGAAGTTGAAAACACTTCTTTTAAAATGCACACTGAGCACAAAGAAAAATGCTTTGATGTTCATTAGACATCAACAATTATACAGAGAATGTAACACCCTGTCTTTTTCTCCCCCCAAACACACAATACTTTTTAATCTTTTAAAACTATACACTACATGAAAGACAAGTACACAGTTATTGGCAAAACATGCTAAACTAGGGATCCCCAACCCCTGGTCCATGGTCCAGTACTGGGTCACAGCATGCCAGCAACTGGTCCACACAAAGAAGCAAAGCTCCATCTGTGGGATGCAGGCAGCACACAAAACCACACACTCTCTGGTCCACGGAAAAACCTTTCTCCACGGAACCGGTCCCTAGTGCCCAAAAGGTTGGGCACCTCTGTGCTAAACTATCGGGGGACAGGGCAATCTGTTTCAAAAAAATTTTTATTTCTCACATGAAATACTAAAATTGCACATCAGTATTTCTCAAACCTTAATGTGCACAGAAGCATTTCTGTGCATTTTCCATTAGATTAGATGAAAAAGTTATTAGACTTAACAGCTATTATGATGATCAATGCTATCTTCCATAAAATAAACGGGAATCTATCCATTTATATCAGTTTGCTTTATGCACTGTTTATTGTTTGCTTTTCAAAAAATTAGTTTGAAATAGTTTTGATCAGATTTTAGGACAAAAGTGCTACAAGAAGAGGATGAGGGGATAGTCCTTTCTACATTATATGCAGATAAGTGGGGTTTTAAGTCCATCTACTTCCTTTGGAAAAAGGAAGCAATACAGGTGGTCCTCAAATTATGACTATTCATTTAACTGAAGTTACAATGGCACTGAAAAAAGT